ACCAATCCGACATACATAACCGTCAGAGTTCAACACCAAATCATCAGAGCAGTAACATAGACCTTCGAACAAGTTTAACAAAACAACATTGTACTCACTGGGTCATTTACAATAAATTAACATGAAATTCTTAAAATATACTTTATGGAAAGAAAAATTTAGTTTTTTGCTTCTCGTGTGTTTAGATAGTTTATTCAAACGTCGTATGGCGATGACGAGTCCTGTTTATCTGCATATTTGTAAAATGAGTTGTAGTAACAGTGATCTCTAAAACATAATATGCATTAAAAATATGATAATTTGTATGATTGTCTTTTTATTGATTGTTGTCAAGATGTGAGGTAATTTCCAAAGTTTCGCTACATAAAGTGCTCGACTTAGGTTATTGTTTGATATCCTTGAATTGCTTTTATTGCTAGGTCTTACCTCAAGCCACCTGTTTTTTTTATAATAATGGATTGAAAGTATTGATGGTTTGTTCGGAAAGTGTTTAAAAATGTATACGGCGTGCGAGCCAGCAAGTTGGTCAATAATTAGTGGCTATAGACACCAAATATATTTGATTGAATGACAATTAATGTATATTCGATTGATTTCATACATTGATCTGCCATTTTTATCAGTTTGCGAAACTGCTAATAGTGCCAAAGATTCAGATTGACTGGCACTGTCATAAATGTATACGAATTGGTATGTCAGTCTACTTATTTCTGTGGTACTAAGCATATACGCTTCCCGTCAGTGTCTTTTTCAACATATCTTGTTAAAGTACAACGCAGACCAATCCTCACATTTTCTGATGCATGTGATATGACAGTCATCTGATGTCATTTACAGGATTCAGTCAAGAAATTCTGTACTTTACACTATAAATTTAGCAGGCTTGATTTTTTTGTCCGGGGACAGATGTCTGAGAACCTGTGTCAGTCTTTTTTCGCAAACAGAACAACAAACCATTTGTGACAGAGTCCTCGTGTTTTGCAAACGAAAGTCGTTTGTCAGATGTCTTGATATGCATTACTTTATTCACAGACTATCTCGGCTTAGCGACACACTTATTCTGTTCTCCTTATTGTTTTTCATGTTTGTGATCCCCATAGTAGCCATTTGTTTAAAATAACCTAGTCAATTTCCAACTAATAACCAATAGGATTCTGAATGTTTCGTAACATGATAAGTCAAACTTCAGTGGAGTGTAGTCAGAAAGCACGTAGTCGAACAGTAACAAGTTTGAGTGTGTTTCTGTCGAGTCACCCATCGTGCAAGCATATTTACGACCGTTAAGTACCATTTTGACTACTTATTCGGCGAGGGAATCTTTTTCGACGAGGTTGTATTCAAAATTCTATTATTGTATGTATTTGTAGAGATTATAAATTGATAATTAACCGTATGGCCGTTAAAATTAGATTATGCAGCATGATGTGATAACATGTTGAAGTGGAGATGAAATATAATCAGAGGGAACATGGAAATAAAAATAATTCGATTGAGGAACTAGGTGCTTTGATAAGTGCACGTATAATTGGTCACATGTGAGAGTTCGCGCTTCAAGTTCTTGATGAAAGTTGGTTGGTTAGAGAATACTAACCCTAAGATTGTGATGAAAGTTCTGTTGATTACTCACTTCTGTTAATCGTCAAGTGCAAGACTTCTTCCAGGCCATACTGATGTATATATTCCTGCTTTCGTTGTCTTTGTTGCGGTTGTAAACTATCCTGGAACTTCTGGTTATGATTGCATTTCAACATGGAACGGTAAACTGTAGTGTTTCAGAAATTTAATTTAAAGTCTTGACAATTAAAAGCATGTAATGAAGATGGTTGTGAATTATTTCGCTATTTGGATGTTAGTTATTTATTTGAACACATAAATATTAGTACAAAGGGGCACCGAATACATGTGCGCTACACAAGTCATCTGATTTGCTTGTGCGTTGTGATACTATCCGGGTGCGCAAACTGAAGCAGGTGGTCTTCCTAGGGGACCACGCCCGGAGCTTTCGACCTAAAGGTCTAATACACAAAGCAGTAGAGCAACGTCACGGGATGCACTCCCATGATAGCCCACGGTCAACAGTATGTTCATACACCTTTTGTCCCCTCACGGTACTGGAGCCCATGTGCACCATTGCTTTGGGATCAGGGTTTTCCAACTCTAGGTGCACCATCCGTATTCACCAGCCCGGTTAAAGCACCGGACATTTGCTTTTCATCCTCTCAGTTTCCTGAACAACATCTACCGCGAGAAGCTGGTGAGTAGACCTTTCTTGGCAGTGGCTGTATGCGCGTGACCATGTGAGAGCATTTCATCCGTACCAGGGTATTTGTAGGATGGGAATATATTTTCCTAATGGGAAGCGAAACTTAATACTAGGGTATTCATCAGAATCCCAAAAGCTTATAAATTTAGTATATACCTGAATTTTATCAAGAACTGAGTGTATCCATACAGAAAAGCTATTTCTCAGTGAGTTTTAACATCGTTCCACAACTTTCAGTACGCAAACATGTTTCACATGTTTTATGCATATAACTTTCTGTTTTAGATTGTTACTAATTGCTTAAATGAAAAAAACTGTTGTTTTGTTATAGTATTTAACTGTTCTAATCGGATACATACATATATATGTAGGAAGCTATGTTCGGAAATGAAGATATGTTTGATGATGGGGAGTTATCCGTTGAATATTCCTCAGATGACAACTCCGAGCCCAATGTTGATTTAGAAAATCAGTACTACATGGCAAAGTCGCGAAAAGATGACAATCCAGATATGGCACTTTTAGAATTCCAGAAAGTTTTAGATATTGAAGGTACTGGGAATAAAGGCGATTGGGGATTCAGAGCATTAAAGCAAATGATTAAAATAAATTTCAGGCTTGGAAGGTTCGATAATATGATGGAAAATTATAAAGTCCTCCTTACCTACATAAAGTCAGCTGTAACTCGAAATTATTCTGAGAAGTCCATTAATTCGATTTTGGATTACGTGTCAACCTCCAAACAAATGGATTTGTTGCAGCAGTTTTATATCACTACTCTAGATGCACTTCGTGAGTCGAAAAACGAAAGATTGTGGTTTAAAACTAACACAAAACTGGGTAAACTTTACTTGGAACGTGGTGACTATATGCATTTACAAAAGATTGTTAAGGAGTTACGTGAATCTTGTCAGACAAATGATGGAGAAGACGATCTTAAGAAAGGAACTCAGCTGCTAGAAATTTACGCACTGGAAATTCAAATGTATACAGCCCAAAAAAACAACAAAAAGCTTAAAGCATTATATGAACAGTCTTTGCATATTAAATCAGCCATTCCACATCCTCTCATAATGGGAATAATACGAGAATGTGGTGGGAAAATGCATCTTCGCGAAGGAGAATATGCGAAATCCCATACTGACTTCTTCGAAGCCTTCAAGAACTATGATGAATCTGGATGTCAACGTAGGACACACTGTCTAAAGTATCTTGTCTTGGCCAGCATGTTGATGAAATCGGGTATTAATCCATTCGATTCACAGGTTTGCGATTTATTGTTTTATTTTTCAAAGCAATGGGAAAATTGCTTGGTATGGTTACTAACCGAATATTTTGTAGACTGTATGACTTCATAATATTTTGAATCTATCTGATTGTGCTTGACGATGCAACTCATACTCCTCTGTAACTGAATTGTTTAGAGTTATAGCAAACTAAAAGTGCTCCATAACTCCGAAGCAAAAATGGCTTATTATTCTCCATCACAAGGGATTAGACCATCGTCAAAGCATAGAAATTCATCCTAGACAATCTAAAATATGTAAAAGACCGACTCCTAAGTAGCAAACCAAGTTTATATCAGATGGTCAATTTATTTATAACCTTTTTATTCTCATTTAGTCACTTAAATGTCATATAAATTACAATGGACTAATCCTTTTTATGTACTATGAGGCAACTCATCTACTAAATGCAGTTACGTGTATTTAGTATTTAGCCATGGCTTTGGTGTTTGTAGTACTTTTCGGTCTGAGTCTGAACCCAAATGGTTGAGATTTGAGTGTTTCGATAATTTCAGAGCTTTCTTCAGTATGTTGAACCAGAATATGCTCTAAGAGTTTTGCTAGAAGGCAATATGGTTGAAGTGTTTTTAGGTTTCGAAAGCTCCATTATAGTGTCTTGATTATGCTAAGCAGTATAATAATCTCCACGTAGTTTCAAACCAAAGAGTTCATAGAGGGTCCCTTAAACTTGCCATTCCTTTGTTTTTTGGGTTAGTAACCACCTGATAGCAACTTTGTAAAGGTTGAGTGGTAGTAGTGTTGATCGATGCCTCAAAAGCTCGTAATTACATGCATCATTTCACATGCTCTTATGTAGTGTCATCATTCCTTACTATATTACACTTCTTAATAGCCTTTGTTCCACTTTTTCCCTGTTCAGATAAGTGAAGTACGTTAAATGTGCTTTATTTTGAATTCAAGAAGCAATATGAAGATTTATTTACAATTAAAATAATGAGCCAAGGTTCTATTTTGACTTTAGTCCATTACCCTAATATTATTTACATGTTTTCCTTAAACTGCATTTGCTTTGTAGGAAACAAAACCGTACAAAAATGATCCTCAAATTGTGGCTATGACAAGTCTTGTAACAGCTTATCAGAACAATAATATCGTAGAATTCGAGTCCATTTTACGACATCAACGTGATTCAATCATGGAAGACTCTTTTATTCGTGAACACATTGAAGACTTACTTCGTAATATTAGGACTGAAGTTCTCATCAAATTAATTCGCCCGTACACCAGAATACGCATACCTTTCATTTCACAACGGTTAAATCTAAGCGACCCAGAAGTAGAAAGTCTTCTAGTGGCTTGCATTTTAGATAATACAATACAAGCGCGAATTGATCAAGAGCATCAAATTTTGGTGCTTAGTACAGAAGCTACTTCAGAAGCGCGTTACCAGGCTCTTGACAAGTTAGCCCTACGGTTACGGCATTTACAAACGGCGATGTCCAACAGAGTTCCTATAACTAATTAAAGAGCTTTTGAATTTAAGCAATGACAAAGAACCAATACGACATGCAACATAATATACCGAATTTTCTTCAACACACGAAAATTACAAAAAGCGTACGATTTGCAAACAGAAACGTTTTTAACAATCTTATGTAAAATTTACTATGGCAAAAATACAACTGATAACGCAAGTAATTTGCTTTCATCCATCAAGTGATAACAAGTACAATGTAGACTGTGTGCATACCAAAACTGATGGATAGGGTTTGTCTGTAGCAACAAATCCAATTATTGGGTCATTAGTTGGTAGGGTAACTACGTGTTGTGATGCGACATGTACAATCTGTTGCTTTTTTGCTGAAGATGAGTTAGCTGTTGTGCGTTTCCGGAGTTCTGTATCCTTAGAATCATTTGATAGGGGCTGACAATATATGTAGATTCTCCTTGTCAAGTCTGCAACTGCCACAAATTTTAGTGGAGATCCGTCCGATAAAACTGGACTAGAAACAAACCTACTTTCACGCTTACTGGCGAGAACGTAGCCAAATGCTTGCAAAGTTGAAACATGTCTCCATACACATGGGTCTCTTCCTGTCAGTGTATTCTGGCATAGTGGTAACCAAACTATCCCATCTACATCATGACGGATACAGAAAGCGTGTGTAGCATTTGGTTTCCCCGTAGCACAACGAATTTTGAACAACCATTGGTGTCCTGATAAATAGGCCTAAATTAGAGCAATTCGCTTATTAAACAAATTTAATATAAAGAGGGTTATCTAGTTAGTTCGAATCATGTATAAACAACAACTAAAAATGAGTACGAAAACTAGACTGCTTGGATTGCGAGACTGGACAAATAACTAAATTTATGTGTCTTGAAAGCTTACGTCTAACGTAAATCATCTTTTAGAAAGGAGACTTGGCTGGAATAGTTTCAAAATAATACTCGCATAATGCTATTATAAAGAATGCGTAGGTTAATTTTAAACACTGACATCAGTTATTCGTAATATCAGTGCAAATGTTTTCGTATCAGTAACGAGATCATATCCACAAAATATAACAGGCGTTACACCAGTCGTCCCATCAGATTCATCTAGTTTTCAGAAAAAAAAACCCATATTGAAAACAGGTCTACTTAAGCTCCCTTTTCGTTAATAACTGACGGAAGTTGGTTAGCCACTTACTGTAAGTTAGGAGTACTTGGGAAATCTGTCCAAACTGAGGTTTCAGCGTGAACTTGCAGAAAATTTTCCAAATAATCTCATCGATTAGTCATATTTCTAACCCTAAGAACGGTATGGTTACAGGCTATTCAGTTTAAATTATTAGTTCGCAGTTCTCCGACAAACAAAACACAAAATGTTTAACCTACGGTCTTGCTGGGCCAGTTCACTGTATGCAATAGGTTAAAAACATGGGCAGGTCTTAGAAGTTGGTAGCTTACCTGATTGTTTATACCCTCTAAATGGTTAGTAATGTTTATTTCTTGCCAATGAATCATGAGAGCTTTCCGGTTACAAGGAAAGGCTTGCGAATCAATGTCACTGGTGACCTAGTGTGATGTAGCTAAATCGAAGCCATTATTTGGCGTGGTAAGCCTGCTCGTTAATAAAAAAAATGATATGCACAAAAATAACTTAGAACCTGGAATATCGGGAATTTACCCTAAATTGTTATATCAACACATCTGGGGAACTGTCCGCTGAAGTCAAATGTAGGAAGCATAGCATGCCAGTTCCTGTTAGCTGTTTCAGGTTTGGTATTAGTAGGGTAATTTCATCAACAGTCCAATAATGCTGACAGTATGTTCAGACCAGACGATTACAACATGCACATCCCATAATTTTCTACCGTAAAGCTGAAACACTACTACTCATTTAAGATGTTTAAGACATGCAAAACTTAATGAAGTCATTAAATTAATAGCCAGGAAAAAGAAAAGGCAAAAATAGGTGGATCTTGTGGTGACCTAAATCTCAGAGTGTAACCAGGTGTTATTGCATTACACGGTACAAAGTACCTATTTAGGGTAACTGAATGGTCACTAAGCATGTAAGACAAATCTCTGTTCGAAGAATATCATCTAATCAAAAGTTTCTTAATTTACAATGGCCTACTTACGGATACGTTTGTCAATCCTTAATTTCATTTTCACACAATGTCCTAATGAAACAACTACCTAGTTTACCACATACCACTATTTTGAAAAATAACACTAAAAAATTATATTGATGTGGTTAATTTCAATTTTGCTCCAACAAAATTTCAGTTCTTAATGTTTTTGCACTGATATTAACTGAATGTTACTTCTCTTTAATTTTGCATCCTCTGAGTTATTGACTGACTGAGATGTGTATTGCCGATTGACTAACCATCATTTGTTTGGTGTTGATTTTTATATTTCATCATAGTTTAGGGCTGTGTCGAGGGAATAACTGAAGAGGAATATTTTTTTGCCCAATTAGTATTTAAAGGTCTCGAAGGGAATGCCTAATTTATCATAGAATCAGATATCATTTTTAAATTATTCTATTATCGCTTACAAAATAAATACATATAGCTTTATTTTAGCAGTCATATTAGATTTAACAATGCCAGTTGGTAACTAACTTAATGTAACTCACTAGCCCATAGATTTGTGTACCCGCGCATCGAACCATACTTTTATGAGAGGGCTGGTCACAATAACAGTGTTTTTGGGTCGAAGTAAATAGGGACTTGTAGCTTGAATGGTCATGAGTCGAGCACTCAACTACCACTCTAGATTTTGATAAGGCAAATAAATCCCCACACATACCTGATGAGTACACTTGAGAGTTTCATGGTCGAACCTTTGTAATAAAAGATCAGTTTCATCTTCATTCATTGGGAAATCAACTTCTTCTAGCTGGCCAACATTGAAAGGCGGTTTCGGTGTCAAATCAGCCTTTCCATCTGATTGTACACGCATTTGATCATCCAGACCAGTGTGATGTGAGCAGTGCATTCCAGTTAATATTTTATTTTCATGTGGATCGAGTAACAAACGGGGCCAGTAATGGGAATTCTGTTTAGTTATGCGTATTTCAATGCTTTAAATGAAAACCACAGTTCGTATTTTCAATTTACTGAATATAAGACAAATACAGAAAGGTAATAAAATATGCACCAACCAACCTTATCTAGTGAGGTAAGAATTTACTACTGGAACATTTCGTAACATTGAGACATTGGGTATATTTTACTACATTTCAGTCAACAAACGAAATATACAGTATTAGTTCTTACGTGAAAACCAAAAACCAGCTCATCTGTATTGAAAAAGGATTTCTTTTAGCCTACTTTTATTATTATTTATGGGGCCGAACTGGTCTATTTCGACAGACAGAAACTCAGATAAATATTTATGACTTCACAAACTGGAACATTTTTGATATCTACTATTTGTGCATTTTGCTGTATCAACTGTACAACATACAATTTCTGCTACACTTTAGAATGTGAAAACCATCTAAATCACGGAGAGTTATGATTCCCCGTGAAAACAAGTTACCAAACTATTTTTATGTATATAATCGTTTGCATGAATTTGACAAAATATCATCAATGATCTACATCTCTTTAAATTAGCATAGCAGAATAATTCGAAAATTGTTCTTAATAGGGCAATTATTTTTCATCTATTAAAGAGCTAGTTAAGATTAATCCATCTAGGAAGCATAGGGTTTATAAAGCCGGCTTTGAGACATCGTTAGTGTGAAAGTTAATGAGACTACCTAACTACGCAAACTAAATTGGATGTGGTGAGGTTAAAACCTCGAATGTATTAGCTGAAAGTCGAAAACTTCAACCACTAATCAACTACTCCACCCGTCTTCTGTTATAATATCGAGCATAAAGATCGGACTTACAATCTTGGATATTTAGTGACGTACCGGTTATTTTTTCGATCATAGGTCCACGAGGAATTGGGTTCTACTGGTTCATAGAGCATCTGATCAATCAGTGTGATAGGGCGATCACTAATTTTTTTAGTTTTCGTGACTGGAATATAGGAGTGCAGGTTCGCGCGGAGTATCTGGTGTTTAGATGACTCTTCACAGATTGGAATGATTTCCACAGAAACAATATTCGAATCATATGAAGATGGGAGAGTGATACCATTTAGCGTAAAAGTGACATTGAGCAAACTAGGATTGATATCTTCGGCGTCAGTTTGTGTCCAAGTTACGAGAAACTCGGGATCCTGTCCAATACATGTATCTTCTGTATCCATTTGTTTAGACTCAGAATCTGTTTAAATACAAAAGAGCTACCAATTTTAGTAACATGATTGTTCGTAATTTTTTTTAGATAACTGTAGAGAATGGCAAATATTAACGGCTGGGGTAAAAATTATGGAGAAAATCATTAAAATTCAAGGAACTAAGGAACCACATGTACAAACCAGTCATTTTAATACTGTGAATATGAACTTAGTCACGTAGCTTGTTCAAACTTAAACCATGGTTTGGAGGATTACTTATTTGATATTCAATTACAAGCATGAATGTTGAGATTCTATTCCATCTACATCAATTTTCATTCATGGGTGAGGTCTGTAGTTATCATTTAAATGCTGTCACAAGCCTAAAAAATAACGTAGTTACTGAGTTGTATTATATTTCAGACTAGTTTCGATGTAACATGGAAAACCTTTAGTCCTTTCCATTATTATTTTTCTTAAGCAATTGTTTTTTCCAACAGCCAGTGGAATGTGGTTTTCTGGTATTTGTACGGTATATCTATCATGCGTTAGAAATAAAACATAGCGGATAACCATTGAAAATACCATCATAATAAATGGTACAATACATCCACAGGAATATTAAAAGGAAGACCTGAAACCGATGCATTTGGAAAGTCAGTATAATAAAGTTTGACGTTCAAGTATAAGTTCGTGTACCCACCTTTAAACGATTTAGTAAGTAAAAGTTGAAGGATATTAGTGAAATCATATTATTTTCAAACGGTATACAAACTACTTAAGCAGTAAATTCACTTGGAATTTTTTTACTTGAATCTTCCCATTAATGTTTAGGATTGCAATTGATCAGACTCTCATTGGCATATGTGCATTCTTTGCGGATGTCCCCAATACTGCCTTGATTCACAAGCATTATAAGCAAAGATGGATAGTGGTTAGTAGTAGAACCCGAGACGCGCGTTTCGCCCTATTTGCATACCAGGACTCAGTAGCTAAGTGGATAACGCGATGGCGTTTAAAGAGAATGGTACTGAGTTCGAGTTCCGGAGCGAACATCGAATCTGGAATGCTGGTACATCCAGCTGACGAGTCCCATATATGACGAAACGGGCGTCCTGGGTTCCACTACTAGCTACTATTCATCTTTGCTTATAATGCTTGCGAATTAAAGCAATGTCAAGGCGATCCGGAAATGCCCGATTTGTTCAGAACATTTTTACGTATTGAGATGGTGGAGAGGATTTGTAGCACAGGTGGATGGCATTTTACGTATTTCAACAAAAGGCATGGAAACAACCAGCCCCTTATAACGGTTCACGAAACTTACATTTATTAAGGTAGTTTTCATGAACAGATGGATTCCAGGAGTCGTAAATAGCATGAAATTTTCTTTCTGAGCAAATATGCAGTGCTGAACAATCACCCTCGAAGGCAGCGAACTCAGGAAATGAAGATGCAACGAATTTCTGGTGCCGCACTACGGACCAAGACATGTTCGATTCTAGGAAACGAAAACAATAGAGCCTGTGTTTTGTAGGTGTTTTCAAAAACAACTTACAAGTATTCAGTTAAATGCTATTAGTATAAGAGAATATTCAAGGTGCAAACGTCGACGAGCAGAGAATATGGACGCTTATTATCTAGTGAAATGTCATACGGAGAATCGAGTTACAATTTTGATTATACTTATCATTTAGAAATTATAATAACCAGCTATATTGGTATTAACCGTAGGACCATTACTTCAAATTTTAACTGTCCAGGTGTAAGGGAATCGAATACCTCAACTAGTTGTGGTTTAATATTTTCGATTCTCTATTTCTTCTATTCGTGTCCTCCTTATAGGTTGATTATTTAAATGTCAGGATGTGCATCAAGTGATTGGCAGATTTTCATTTTAAATTGCTAATCTAGTTGACTCATGGGAAGTTGAACAGGTCAACTAGTAAATCTGTGGTATGATGTGATAGAATAACTACAGATCAGTGACTACTTTCGTATCTATGATCCACAACTATTGAATGCCAATAACAGAATTGTTGGGAAGTGACCGATGGTTTCTCCAAATTGTTGGTCGCTAGGAGTCAATTTATTAACTTATATTTTACTCATATAGGTTGACAAAAAAGGAATTGCGAATGTATCGTTTAGTATTGTTACTCTCACTAGTTTACAAACTGATAGTTTGTTCCATCGCAAAGGCGTAAGACAGTGAGTGTTGGAAGAGTGACTTTATGTGCTTAGTTGGAACCAATTACATAAAAGTGATGAGACTATGTGTAGCCATTGTGAATGGAATATTGAGTTAATACTACTCTAACTGCCTAAGAGAATCAAACAAATTGAATAGGAGGAACGATGATTAGTGGATTACATGGAACATAATAATGAAGTAAAACTTTGGGTATTAACCAAAAACAACTCAAAATGCAATTCTGCAGCTACGTGAATCAGATTTATGCAATTGTGAAATTTAAACGAATGCGTTGGAACCAAATTTACTCCATTTCCTATAACCATACACGAATAATATGATGAAGAATTGAGAAATGAGCAAATAACAATTTCTATGATATAAGTAGTGAAGGATTCTTTTATGCCGTCTGGAGTTTAAACTGCGATTGTCCAGAATCAATATACTAAAGCATTTGAGTTTCTTCCAGTTGTTGGGTAGATGAGAGATATAAATATATACTACTGAGAAACATGTACAATTCCGTCTTACCGCTAACCTAGAACAACATTTAATAATGAATTATTGATCAAACAATTGCTAGTAAAACCAGGCCTACAGCTTTTTATAGATGATCAGTATAGTTATGATTAAATTCGTGTCTAGCATAAAAGCTGGGTAGTGAAGTGTTCATCTTAAAACAAATTTCGGTACGCACAGGTGCTATCTAAAACTATCTTCCTAAAATAATCTGACGTCTTAGATTATGAACGGTAACTAACATAAATGATTAATATCAAAATGTAACCAAATACCTGGTGAGCTGTAAGAGATCCATTCAAGATATGTCACATAAGTTGAAGTCGAATCGCTACATATGGGATCTTCTTCAGATTTTTCCGAAATACCAACAAATAAACAATCCAAAAAGAGTTGATGAGAAGTGTCATCAGAATTAAGTAAACAGTCTAATAGCTGACTATCTTTCTCATGGATAGGAGGTTGGATCCTGCTAACAACCTGAAAATATATTTAAGATTTAACAGATATAATAACAAACTAGGCAACGCAATTAAGTTAACTGTGTTTATTAGGTTCGTATATTACACCGGAAACTTCGAGAAAACTGATCGATTCGCATAAAGACTTCAGAGCAGTTGAACTTTATGCTTGATTTTTTGGTTTGGCAGTTTTTATACGCATATGTAATACTTTATTCCAATGGGAACACATTTCCAACAAACGCGTGAATAAAGACCTAGCATAAACTTCACAAAGAGTAAAGGAAACAGGAATCTGAATCTTTAACTTATTGAGCAGTCGAAATTGTTGAGTCACCACTACCACTTTTAGTACACAATGGTAATAATCAGAGATTGAAGAATGTAGTGGCGGAAATAAGAGTTCATATTCTCTACTCAGTCATTACTGACTTGCCATGTCAATTTTACACGACCAAAACGTAATCATCAATTTCGTACACATGCATTAGTTCTTTCCGATAAAAATTTAAATATAGCAACAAAACAATAAATATTTGATACTACAAGTACAAGGAATTAGAATTTTTAACGTTCCGCCACTCAGTTTAAGTTGCTTCTTTCATGACTTTAAATTCACTCAAAGGAGCTAACAAGATCATTATCTTAGAAAGAGATAAGCTAAGGGAAAAACAATGTCAACACCTGACGATTTAATTCTACTAATATTAGCATTAAAACATACTAAAACGAAGTACCTTTGAATAACAACTCAAAAGAAATTTCATGGGTCAGTATCGTAGTTTTATCTTCCTGGTATAGTACAACGGAAGAACTGGAACGCATCTCGAAGCTAAATAGAATTAAGACTGTCCATAAAGCAACCAATACTCTTCGAAATACTTAGGTTAGATTAAGGGAAAAGATCACTTTCGCATCAATACAGAATTACTTCTACAGATTAAGTTGTATCGAATGTGATGCTTTCTATTTTGGAAAGTCTCCTCGTAAAATCTCAACTCGTGCCACGCAACACCTAAGCTATACAAAAATACCCAACGATCCCGTGAAACTGGAAAATTTACAGACTAAATGGACAATAGTAGTATTTGCTGTATTCAACAACCACGAAGTCAATATTAAAGATATCGAAACAACTCGGAAAGATTTTTTAAACTATAAAAAAGGGCGCGTAGCTGGAGCGTTTCACGTAATCTTAAAAATCTTAACTCTACTTCTTCAAATCACAAATTCGACATTCACTAGCACACGCATAAGTACACATCGTGATGTCTCATACAAAATCACTTTGACCAATGAAAAGACGGTGACAGAATCAGAACAGTTTTGATTTCGACTGAACTAAATATTTGACCTAATCCTCTTTACTATTCAAACCTGTGTTAATTCGATTATCTATTTATTTACTCTGTGAAAAATCGAACTGAACTAAGTTGCGAAACGTCAGATATCCTAATTTATAAAATTACATCATAATTTGATTCTATCATTTATTTGATGTCAACTAGAACAGAAGTCTTTCATGGCTTTATACCAATTTGAAGTCTTTTCCAAGTCTTTCATGTTCAGTATTATTCTTTGATGCAGCCTATATTCAGAGAGCGGAAGTGCTTAGACAGTATTTTGGAACTGAGAAATGAAAGTCTCGCTGGGTCAGCAACGGTTAGATGACCGCTCCTTCGCGACTGTGGTTGCAATAAAGTGAGAAATACTCACGTATTTAACCTGAAGTATTACGAGTTAAATTTTAATTAGGATGTCACAGTTGACTCAAAATAAGTAATGACTGGATTGTTCAAAATGTTCACTCAAGTTATTCAGGAAGTAGCAATTAGTTTGAAGATCTATTCAGTCCCATAGTTTTATGATGTGATTAGGAGTAAAAATTCGAAAACTAGTCATGCACAGGGCTACTTTAATATGAAAAGCAATTACAGTAAGTACTGGAGCTAATTTATTCTCAGCATACAAAACCCTGAAAGAAAACGAGCTAAAATCAAATGTCGAAAAGGCAAAATATAAAACTTACGTTGAGTAAATCATTTCTTTGTTGAACATCTGACTTTAGGAGATATAGATTACCTAAACCATCATACAAAGATACATAATATAGCGCAGGAAACTGGATCGACACACTACGAAACTTTTCATCAGATGGTTCACACCAATCAGGAAGTGTGAAAACAATGGTTCCTTGGTTGAAGTTTTGTGGATACTGTGGTACCTTCATCGACACTAACTACAAAACTACTTGTTTAAACAATATTAGAAACCTACAGACCCATCGGTACTCATGTAGTAAACACAGCTGGTATCAAATGGATTAACACACAGGCAGTTAATATTATTGTATGCTTTGAGATGTTGTTTAGAAGTAACTTCGTTGAGAGGTTTGCAGTAAACTCCATTTTGACTACTTGCCTCATAAATAGGTATTTTAAGCAGACTGAGTTTATAAGACTCAAAATTCGGGTCGAGAAGTGAATGGTCGGGTCTTAAACTAACATTCATTATGTAGAGTGGCGACCCGTTTAGTTTTCGTTAGATTTTTGACTGAGTTGCTGGTGAAAACGTGGTACTGACAAGGTTGTTGCTCCAGTTGACACGAAAGTCTGAAACATATACCACACAGTTGACTGACCAAGCTGAAATAAAAAATATAGAAAGCAGAAAATATAGTATTTACATAGTGAATAGTGTTACCAGTTGTCGAAATACTAAATTCTAAGTGAATTGGTACGTATGGGAACGAGTTGTATTGTTCTATAAACTCAGGACTATATGATACTATCAACTAACCATGTGTTTATATGCTTATCTTCTATTCTTTGTGAACAGCTGATATGAAACGAATTTTTCCTTCACTCAAGCAGTTTTACTTTAAGGATAGATCTAAAGTCTTTGCTGGCATTGAATCAGGTCAATTTACGTACGCAAAAACAAATCACAATGTCGGGATATCTAAGATGAGTCTTGTTCGTTCTGGATGCAAAATGTCGCCTTAGGACTGATCTGCATCAGAACTTGAACTAACAATGGGCAGCGAAGCGGTTGAGCCTGTCGAATGTTTGACTTATCTTGGAAGCCTTATTAGCCCTAGTAGGTAGATGCCCGGCTAAATCTCATTATGGATTTAGAAAGCTCAATTGGTTCTTGCCAACTTATGTTACTTGTGGAGTAGTGAGATTTTCATCTACAAGTTCTCTCTGTTTTAGTCTATGGCCTTTAAAAAGGGAATTTTCTTAGGTTGTTGGCATCTGATCATAAACGCCTTTGAAGCGTTGTTCGTTTACGTTGGGACAGCCAAATGAATAATGTTAAGATTAGACAGAAGGTACTACGTAAAGAGAGAAAGTCCATTGATGGTGTGGTAAATCTTTATTGATTGAGGTCATGGGGATGTGCTACCGCTAACCTTAACTCACGATGGTGGCTAGTGTAAGAGTAAGCTGAAAGAAATTTAAAGGTGGCTAAATGCAAACGTGGAACCAGTTTATAAAGTCACTGATTAGATGGAGATTACCTAGTTGGCCCCGAGAGATTATTGTAACCAGGTGTTAGAGACTTTGAACAACATGGTTTAGGATCATTTGCGATGGTGTGGTTAAATTCACTCTTTATCTTCCCTTAGATCTTAAGCTTTCAAATGACCTCATAATTCATTAATACTCCACAAATACGTGTTTTTATTAAAGTCATATTTTCAGTTCCTAGTCATTTATACTACTATGATCTAAAATGTCTTGACAGTTTCATCTCGCTTTGTTGAGGTTTGGCAGTTTGAAATGATACATATATGTACCAGCTTTTAAGTTATATTTGACTCGGTGGCCGACATTATTACTTTAATCCAGTACGGTGAAGAGTTTAGCGAAATGAAGCAAAGGTGCAAAATCAATGCAATTTTAGGACTTTATGTTCTGTCGATGATACCTAACAAAGAAACAAGATTTGTTCTTAAAAATTAACACCTTAAATAGATATATCTAGGTTGAATCTAAAATATAATTTGTGTTTTTATAAACAGTTCATAACCAACCGTGTAAGGTCAGCAGTAAGGCTGCTGGTTCATCTAGAACAGTAAGATCTAATAGTGGAAAAGGTACTTGATAGATCTTTGAAGAGAATGAAAATGATAATAGAGTAATTGACATGGAGAGATTATGGTGCATGCGATATGAGGACCAGGCATAAGCGTAGTGTAACATAAAGATATGAAAATGGAGAGCAGTAACCTGAAAGACGATTTGAAGTGAAAGGGATCGGTAAAGTATAGGTTATTCGGGATAACAATGATTACGTGTGAAAGATTATCTCTAGGTGAAACGAGAGGTCGTTATGAAGGACTTTCAAAAGTTACTGCAAATTGTTCATATGTTTACCAAATCGCCTTTTATAGAGATTTTATTGAATGGCTTACGCGTGCAAGTCTTGTTAGTGACGTTTTTGACGTTAGTAAAACTTTTTGATTTCAAATTTGGATTCGCACAATCTATCTGATTGGTAAGACTGAATGACCTGATAATCAATGAATAATTAAGAAAAGAATGACCCGAATTCCATATTTTGGGGTTTTCCCCAAAGTTTGAGGAAGCCACAATTGAAAATTTTGGGAAAATCGCATAGAATCTCCAAAATTTCCCCAGGGCTGGGGAAAACTATGACGTTTCACATGAATTTGGGGAAGACCCCTAAATTTAATTAAAATCAGCAGACTCTACAGGGATATGTCTCCGACATTACAATGTCGGATAAATGGAAGTGGATTGAATACGATTTAGTCTTCAGTAATAAGGATAGTTTGTTGGTGAACCTGTGTTAATCCTGGCAGTTTGCCTTCCAGTGAAGGCCCAGTTTCTCCTTGGAAATATTTACTGATGGGGCTGATACCACTTGTTCGGGAAAGGCGTTCCAATCATTGACTACTCGATGAGAAAAACGGGACCCCACTTTAAGTTTATTAGATCGCGGTTTTATGAACCTACTTGCTATGACCTCGGAGATTATTAATGCTGGAGGGAGCAAAAAGATAAGACATATTAACACCCAAATCATAATTAAAGATACGAAATGCCAGTATGAGGTCACCTCGCGTCCTACGATACAAGGGGAAAAGGTTTAGGCGTTTTAGACGCTCATCTTAAGGGAGTTTAGAAAGACCCTTCACTAATTTCGTTTCCACACACTGGACACGTTCAAGTGAGTTAGTATCGTTTATCAGACATGGACTAGCTGCTTGGATACAGTACTCTAAATGTGGTCGTACGTAGGTGGGATATAAAATTCGAAGCATTTCCTCGTCAAAAGATTTGAACGCTCGGCGAAGTGAAGAATTTGAAGGTGATTAGTTACACCAATGTGATGTTTCTTTTCTACAGATTAGTACATTCTACTTAGGTTGTTGAAAAAATAAAGTTGAACTGAAGATATATCTTCGATTGAAACAAGACGTTTATACATAAGTCTCTTGTTTTAACATAAAATATAGTTTTGGATTAGGAGCGTTATGAATTTTATAATGCTTGTGACTGTAGCGAATCCAGTTGATAAACACAGAAAGAGACAAGATAGAAAATAAGCGAGAACCCACGGCCTGACTTCTTTACTGTCCCCGCTTAATGACCTTGTGATACGTATTGCTTCCAAAAGTTTTGGGTGACCTTCGAAACACTGTCCAATACATAGGAGAAAATCTTCGATCACAGTTTTGAAGATTTAGTAGCAGAAGTAGTCTACTTACGTTTTATAGGTATTTGCGATATCCTTCCTTATGAAAAATAATAAGATGTTGTATTTGTTGCTTAGAACCGAAAAAAGCAATTTGTTGTATTGGATTTATATTGAACTGCTCAAAGATGGTTTCCGGAAGATGCGCTTCCGATATGAAATATCATTACTAAATATACCACAGGTAATCGGAGTTTGGCTGCTCGTTCAAACGTAACTCCCTTATAATCAAAATATACCAACCCACTCACATCAGAAGTCAGAAGTGAAGGGCTTGAATATATAATTAGGAAGTTGTCGATATATCGAGAAGTGTATGGTTTTGGCTGACTAGCAGTATGGCGTACTCACTAGTGATGTAAAGCGGATGCGCGACCGAGCGTCATCAGCTAGGTTGTGTGCAGTAAAACTATTGAGGTCAGTAAAGATGACAAAGGCATATATAATGATTTATTTTGGCTATTTATTTGTTGCTACATAACCTAGAGATACTAACCAGGCATGAATACAAATATATTTATAACTGTTTCTTTCTAATATTGCTGATAAACAATTGATTGATCACGGGATGGTGTTCAATGTCATGTATGCAGTATTCAATAGGTATACTGGTCACTAAAATTCCTCCAGCTGTTTGGAGGCACTTTCGAATGCATCAGGTCATGGTTCCCATAGCTAGCTTACCTATGTTAGTGAAATATATAGGTCTTACAAAAGTATGGCTACCCACAATTTTTTCTAAGGTGTCACAGCTTGCTTAATTCATTTTCTTCAGTCAGTCTTGTGACGAAGTCATCGGTTTGTAAACATAGTTGGAGCATTTGTAGGACCATTATCAAAAGACTCGAATTCACGCGTTTCCTTTTTATATCATCTTGTATTTCTATAGTATTGTAATTGTCGTATGAATTAGGAATTCCAGGATTAACGCAATTGAATTAAGAAGACACAGGCACAACGAATGTACTGTATTTAGAATTCGAAATCAAACATTCAACCAGTACAAAGGTATCATTGGTTCATTCAAACACCACAATTTCACACTCAAACCAAGTTGTCAGTTTAGTTCATCCAAAAAATAAAGATGCTAAACGAGTGAGTCATTGCCATATCAAATATGATCTTATGTCTACAGAAGTCTTTAGTAAATCAGCATCCGCTGTTGAATTCAAAACTTCGAAAAGTGTAGGTCCTATATTAGTTTGTATTTTATATGGAATAATTATGGGTCACAGTCACAATTACAAGGAAAATAAAGTTTTGTGATTATTGATTAAATAAGCACAAATGATATGGAGATCGTAATGTGGTGTGTGCTACTTATACGGACAAATCTAAGTAGTATGTATCGGGATTGGGATTAGAATTCCTACTGGCAGAAGCGAAACATGGAGAGCAAAAAAAGAAGAGCAAAAATGGTTGAAGTAAATAAATTGGTTTATTCTGCGCAGGTCTTCAACCAATAAAATTCTAGATTCGACTGTGTACATTTAAACACTAAAAACTACAAGTCACTTTATTTTAAAATGCAGATAATAATAGGTTATTCAATAAGTTTTAAACGATGGAGAAATTTTTTTATTGTTCGAATTACTTAACAATGAAAAATCGTCTTACGCTTAAAATTCAACCATGCAATTCTTCTTGTCGTACAAACCAGGACCTTCTACGTAACATGGCAACTAAATGCCCATGGATTTTACTGCTGATATTAGCTGTAAGACAAAATTATAATGCTTGCCGTAGTAATCGCTAACGATTTGCTTAAAAAAAATTACGGAGCTTAGACAGCCACCGAAGTGTTTGATGAGTTTGACTTTTACCAATTATTAATACTATGGACTGTATATAAAGTCTTTTATGAGATTTGCAAGATATTCTTTTTTTTTGTATGACTAGCTAGTGTAAAACCTACCTTTTTTGAGCTTACTTATTGATGTTAAGGTACGCACAACCTGATTTGTGTCTTTTATCGGTATTCCGGAAAGGCACTGACTAAGCGTTGTGGGACTTTTTACTTCCACATTAATGCCTTAGTTAAGGACCTGTTATTCACCAATGTAAGCGACCTGTTTGGGTGGTTCCGGTCTGTCGGGGTTGGATGGGAATGGTTTTACCTTCCAGCTTACGTCGAAGTCACACCTCACGGTTAATACATAACGTGTATCACCCTCTTGTTGTATCCAGGCCCTGTGTCTACTTTAATAATCTTATAGGATAAGGATAATATTAATAAATAAGTGTATTACTAAGAAAACATAGAAGAAATAGATTATGACCGGTACTACACAGGTTAGTTCATGGCGTACAATCAATCAGTAACTTGTCTGCCGGATAATTTGGTCCGGGCCCGATAACATTTAACTGGCCCTACGAACAAAATCTCATACCAAGAAACCGTCATGGATACAAAAAGCTATCCGAAAAAGTAAGCCAACTGATTTATCTCTCTTTTGCTTACTTCAAGTCCCAAGGAGAGATATAGAAAATATCTATGGAATCAATTGACATAGGTGACATTTTGACAACTGAATTAACATGAGTTTCTTTAAAATTATTACTATTAGTATTACTACTATTATTAAGGCTATGAATCTTTCAGATAAGTATGATTCTTTTGAAAAAAACATCAGATTTTTGAGCATCAATTATTAATAATTTAGTCGCCGTGATGTTCGAAATTTTATATCACCGTAAAAGTTAAATATGGATGCAGAAAAAGTTATGAGCGCCATGTTGAATGCTATAATAATTTTGAACCTAATATCTGAATAAGATAACCAGTATTGACTGGTCAGTTTGATCGGATATAAAAAATGCGGATCTACCTATGACCATATTAATTGATAATAGAATGTTTAATGCCTAGCATACTGGTGTGGTATCACGATTTCTGTTAAATAATTCTATCTCTATTTCTTATACTTACGTGTTTATACGGGTTCATTTAATCAGGTAAGTAAACAAAGGTCAACTTGAGGTCTTGCATTCATGTATAACTCTCACATCACACACATAGTCTCAACGACTATCATTATCATAGCTTAACTAGTGCATAGCATATTTTATAGTTGTATTCTAAAAATGGCTTGTTAATTTCTTTCTAAAATTTTCCAAAAATTTTACTCGGATATTCGCATAATTTAAGTTATGAAGCACGTGGAAGTACTTCAGTGTAGCTAGAATAAAAAAACAAAATACAATCAAAACCGCTTTTCAGATGAATGCAAAAATAATGAATTATTTGACATGTGCTACCAGAAGTTAAGCACGAATAACAATAATACTGATAAATTACACACACGTATAAAGGTGATGAATAACAGTTCAAAGAGGATAACATAGTTGTAATTCACTTTCTTAAAATAGTATTAATTATGAATGCATCTATGTATAATGATCATTGTATAATATTTGCCAACATATTTTCATATTAATCAAAAATAATTTTCAAAATAATTTTGAGTTAATAATGCAATTGGCATTTTACTGATGATATACTTTTGATATTATATGTGAAAAAAATAAGAAAGTTTAACTACTTTCCTTTGATAACCTGTTTCATACTAATAAATCAATTGAATATCAGTCATCAATCGTTGCACATAATATTAGAATAATATAGAAGTAATATTCTTAAGTTATTATAATTCTTTTCATTTATCTGAGTAAGATAGAATAAGTCGTCAGTTCCAAAAATGTTAAAATTAATACAATTATGTGATAATTAGAAGTATTTGAATTATTATACGAACTAGGAATAACTGAAATAGCGCAATTTAAACCAAACAGAACTAGATAAGCACAAACGAAAGTATTGTATTTCGAATTCAAAATCAGGCAGACATGAAGTACAAAGGAATCTAACTTAAGGCGTTTAGTGTTTCCTGAAAGCAATTTTTATAGTTCAGTCAATGAAATATTTATGAACGGTTTTGAAGTAATCCCTTTGGTTAGTATCTTGGTAGAACTTCTTAACGTCATCCAATATGTGATACAGAATGTTCAGTATTACTGTAACTGTTGTGTAAACTATGTTCAAATATCAATGAACTACTACTCAACAATTAGTCATCTTTAAAGGAATGGTTGGAAATTCAATTTATCCCGACATTAAAAAATATATTAAAAAAGTCGCAACGTCAATGAGTATTCTAGAAAATTCGAATATTTTTGGAGAATATAGTATATTTTTAGCTTGAAAACTGAAAATCTTAGCATCAAACTGAATGTTTTTTTAGTAAACAATACTTCATCCATTGTTATTAGTATCATTATACAGATTTGGATTAATAGTCTGTGTTCACAGTGATATTGATACATTTATTTTATAAGCCTAAGCATAAAGTTATTTGATGAAATGTGTATAAATAAAAACTATCCTTAATTTTTACCAATATCAATGTTCATCAAAAATATTTCATGAAAGGAACTTAAGTTTTTGATTAATTTGGAATTAGATCATTGAATCTATCATTAATAAAGTGGGTGAAACCAACATTTTATTGAAAATCTCTGAATAATAACCTTTCAAAAAAATGAAAGTTTCATCCTAGTCTTCACTTAACCAACAGCAATGAGATCAAATTACTAACAGTACAAACTTCATAAAACCCTTATGGAATTAAGTCAACCGAGGATTATTATTTGTGCTACTGGCGAGTAGTTTAATCATGGTTATGTCAAATTTTCTCAGGTTAATTTTTACTTCGATTAATTAAAACAGTTAGTTTACAGAGATCCCTTATAAAACACAAAACAGTTGGAAATATAACGTTAGATAATATACATATAAAATAAAGCAGCAAAAGTAACAATAGATTCTCTAGTGGTGCTTCAGAAATAAGATACATAACACAAAGTAATAGACTGATTTTATGGATACAGTTCGTGAAGGAAAGAAACGTAACAAATAATTTTTTCACTAGTA